GACATAGATGAAGCTAAATACCAGCAATTTCTGGAAGAAAACAAGTAAAAGGTGACAAAAAGCTCGAGAATGGCCTGAGAGTTAACCTTATGCAACAAAGCGATCCCACAGTTGAAGGGTCATAACATAAGGATGAATCCAAATGCATGCCACACTTCTCAGATCCTTAATAAAACCATTACAAAATGATGTATCCCATTTCTTTCCAGTTTAGTTATTTGACTCTCTTTGTTGCCCTGCATAACACACATATGTTTCTGGGAAACCACGAGGGGTGTGACTACTTTCATCAGTCACTGTAATTACAACTAAAGACTTTCATCTTTCACATGAAGCTATTTATTCCCCATCCGAGGTCAGCTGCAGAGCTCTAGCTCCATCTGGTGATGCATTGGGTGCATCTGGAAAACATCTTGATTTACCTGGATTGGTATTTATTCCACAGACACTGAACATGTAAATGTTGTCATCTGTGCAGTTACACATGATGTTGGACCTGGTAGAGTCCAGAACAAGACCGGAGTAGCCTGGAATGCATCAAACAAATAATTCAGATCATTTAGTGACGTGTGGCTCCTTTCAGGTGTGCATATGTCACAGTACTGACCCAGTCTCGTCCGAGTGGAAGAACCAGCATATGGATAGCTCTGCAGAGGCACAGGGTCACGAAGGTAAGCTGTGTAGTTCTTCCTCAAGTCCCACATCTTTATAACACTATAAAATAAAAAATAAAATGTGACCCTCCAGGATTGGCAGTGTGCTTTTACACAGTTTACACATTTTATGAAAAGTGCTTTTTTTTTGTTTACCCGTCAACAGCACCCGAAGAGATGAGTGTGTGCTGATCACGAAATAACACCACTGTAACACTTTGCTTGGTATCCTGCACAACAAGAAAAAAAGATAATATCAGCCACCTAGTCAAGACCACAGTTCAAAAATGATACAAATTGACCCGTTAGCACAAGTAGTTAGTACAGATGAACACTTAATGTTTTTTTTTACCAACAAATTACAATTTTTGTAGAAAGGGAAAGTGGGTGGATACTTTCCATCAGTGGATACAACACTGAATATTTTCTTTAATTATTCACTATTTAGGAAACTGTATGCCTCTCTCTTGCAAGAGGTATTTGTACAAGACTTCTCTTTTTCTGATGTATCCACAAGATTTAAAGATCCCATCTCTTCAACAATCAGAGCACTTTGTTAGTTTAATACAAATATTCCATCTTTAGTTCATTTCAAATAAAACAAAATAAACAAAAAAGTACAATAAATTTACTTTGCATTTTTATTAAGAGAAAATATCACAGTTTTGTGCTTCTTACTTTTTTGTTTTTGGGCCCCAATAATAACTCTGATCAAAAATAACCAATTTTCCATTCTCTTGGAGAAGGACATAAACTCACCACGCTTGGAGCCATTCCACGCATGCTGCTCCTTCTTTTCTTCACTTTAGACAAGGGATTTGTTTCAGATTTGTTATGAGCACCAGTGATCTGTTTCACCTGCTTGTAAAAACCATCTGTAGGGCAGAACATCAAATGTGAAAATGGAGTGTTGGTACAATTTTTCTTTATGCCTTTGCTTAAGAGACCAATGAAGCAGCAAAATTGCAGTAAACCCTACAAAGTTACTGATAACTCACCTTTTTGGCTGCACCTGATATCCCAGACCATAATATTTCCATCTCTGCCCCCAGTGCAGAAAACAGCTGTTTGAAAAAAACATCAGTAACATGAATGAACTAGATGTCTGATGACGACGAGAGCCAAGCCACGTCTTGACTGCTTTTCCTTGTTATTAACACATTTAACCCATAAAACAGTTAATCCATAAAAGGAGAAAAAAAACAAAAATTAATCTTGTAGTTAGAAATCTAAGAGGATATTGAAATTTTAATGAGAAGTTCAATAAAAATTCAGCATACCACTCTCTCCTGGTGCAAATGCAACCGTCTTGAGGCTGCACAGGTGGCCTTTAAAGCCTCCCAGCAGTTCCCCAGACTTCACATCCCACAGTCTGGCCATCTGGTCCCCTGCAGCAGTCACCTAAAGACGCCAGAAGTGATCAAAGTATATTCAGCAAATAACTTGTGGAAATCTTGTTAAGAAATTAGGGAGGAGCTTCTACCTACCAATTGAGGTTCCCTCGGCACCCACGCGATGTCAAAGACAGCGTTCTCGTGAGCCAGCCATTCTGTAAAAGTTCACACCAAGTCAATTAATGAGATCTCCCAACTCAGGGGTGCCCAAAGTACAATTAAAAAAAAAAAGACATAAGTTTGGTCTGCCATCACAAGTGATTGATGCATCTGGAGACTTTTTTATTTTAATCAGTGCAAAATTATTAGAAACAAATTAAAATCTTGTTACAACAGAAAACATTCATCTCTTATTAATCACCCTTTTTGAATTCTCTTGAATTTAATAGAAAACAGGAATGTGTCTATTCAGAAACTTTGCTCAAAAGCAAACTTTGATGCATACAAATCTCCCAAATCTGCTTTTAATTAACTGATTAAACATGACTAAATACATAAAGTATGACTCAAATTCTTTTCTGATGGCTGAAACTTTTACTTTTTTTTCTTACCAAACAAGGCCCGCAAAAATGTGCGAATTGGATTTTTAATGAGACAAACATGCAAAATCCTTTCATTTTTGAGATGATTTACTCAACTCATTCTTATAGAACTATTTAATCTGTTTTTGTGTGCTTAGTTTATTATTGAGCAGGTAAAAAATATAATTTTCTTAAAAATTATACTTTGTTTGGTTCTTTAGATAACTTTGATCCATGTGACAAAGAATTTGGACACCAATGTCTTAATTATTCCTAGCAGAGCTCTTAGAAGTACCTTTAAGAAGAGGGTTTTCACGACTTTCTGTGTCATAGATCCTAACAATGCCTTCTTCGTTAGCTGCTGCAAGGACGTTGGGCATGGTTCCGGCTACAAAACAGCAAGAATCACAGGTTACATGGATGGCTCTCTTCCTGAACCTTTGTCTATTTAATTTTCAGTGCATATTGCATTCAAAGAAGATTACCAGTGGAAAAAGCCAGCCCAAATGGCGGCACTGTGTCTCCTGTGTTGCCGTAGGAGATGTGCTCGTCATGCCGGATGCACTGGTAGCCTCCCAGCAGGGAGCCCAAAGGGATCCTGGAACACGGTTCTGCAGGGAAGGCTGCAGGGATTCATGCAAGGTCAGAAGAAGGAAGAGGAAGTTGTTATTTTGTCACAGGAAACATAAACCTTTCATACCCTTAGAAGTTTTCCAAGTTTCACATTACCACATTTTGTTTTGCTTTTGAATGTGAATAGAGAGTGAATTGTGAAACAAACCATTGATCACATTGTTTGTTATTAATAAAATATATCATAAATTCATAGTGGTGGCACTGTCATGGTGTGGGGACAAAATAAACATCCATCATGAGTTACAGTGGACTGGCATACATCAAATCTTATGAGAGTTAGAAAGGCTCAGTCAAAGTCCAACTGAGACTCTGTGACAAGACATAAAATGTTAATGTCAAAGGCTAACAGTTACATTTTCATTCCACTTTGAGGCCTATCATATAAAAAAGTGTTAAAATGCAGCATGTTATATTTTTGCAAAGCATTTTTAGTACATACTTATGCCTTTTCCATACATGGAGTGCATGCAATTTATGGGTGGACGACAAACAAATGTGTAAGAAGTTAAGGCTGGAAAACTTTCTAGTGTGCAGTAAAACGTTTTATGTGTACTAGCACAGACTAGTACACATAAAACGAAACAACTATGGACATATTACAACAGATAAAAAAAAAGACATTATAGAGACGCAAAATAAAATACAAAAATATCAGTCCAACGGTTATTTTAAATCTCCCTGTTCTTATTGTGATGCAGATCATAGCTTCATTGGCGATTAGATAGCCTGCAGTATGGGTAAAACCCATGCTAACATAGCATATTGATACACCTCCCCTCAGACAGAACATATTGTGTCTCACCGTTCTGCCTCCGTCTGCCCACTCCTCTGTCAACAATAGAGCGGAAAAACATCCCCATGCTCCAGCGGCAGGCCAACTGTTACACACGCCAACAGTTTTGTCCGATCGTTAGCTGGTGGTCTCTTCCCCACTTCTTGTTGCTACCTGGTGTGACTATTTTTTTCCCGCGAACAGAAAGTTCGATTAAAAGAACCGAATTCCGCGCGAAACACCGCGTTGTGCGCTGCTATTGGTGCGTCAGACGGCGATTCCGCTTCCGTTTAGTGCTACCAACAACTGCTGCCCCTTCAACATAAGTGGACACAGGCTGCGAACGGCCGAGATGCAACCAGGTCCTGCTCTAAATTTGGAGATGGACTCTTTTTGAAAGATTCGCACGTTACGTGCCCGCAAATAAAGTTAAAGTAGCATGATGGATGTCTCATACCTTCAGCCTTTGTTATGGAGCCGATGACAACGAGAAGTAATTAGTGAGAAAAATTGTCAGTTTAATAGAATTTCCTTATTCTCTTGGAATATGCTACTTTAATATATTTTGTTATGGAGGATTGATTGTGCCAAAATTGGCAATTAAAATGGCAATAAGTTAAATGGCTTGATAAGGTAATTAATGTAGCAAACTTTGCATTCTAAAAGTGAGACCTTATTTGATTACATAAATGAATATTTATTCATCTTTCTCTGCGGTATTAATTTAATGTCATCACAAATATTTACTGTGCCATTGCATTTACAATACTGTTGGAAGTATTGGTTTGTCTGAACCCAAAGGCTACTAAATAACATTTTGATTTTTATGTATCACATTAAAGTCTAATAAATGATAAAGTGGAAAGTACAATATATTTTTCTGAAATGAAAGTAAAACGTGTTTTCAAAAATAATGAAGTGTAGATGACCAGAAACATGGATCTTTAGAAAGCAATGCATGAGCTTAGTTTCGACATTTTATTTCGAAAAGGCAAATTTCAATCCGGATGTGATGTCATAGGCGCCGTTGCTATTCTGAACAGAAAGATGCTAACGATACCTTTTTATCATAGCCTCATTTATTTAAAAGTGTAATTTAAAAAGCAGAAATGTCGCTTTCAATGGCTCGGTCATTCCTGTCTGAAGCTTGTTATGGGGAGCAGGAGCTGGACGCGAACTCCGCTCTCATGGAGCTGGACAAAGGTGCGTCAGCTAGCTCTGCTAACAATGTAGCATAGCGTCTCATTGATTGTGTTCTGGTTCTGTTTTGCGTTTGATTCGAGTGTCATTCAGATTATACAAGCTCCGGGAGGGATCACTGCTTTGCCTTAACCGGAAAACGTGTGTTTAATTTCAGGGCTGCGGTCGGGGAAGCTCGGAGAGCAGTGTGAAGCTGTGGTGTTGTTCCCCAAACTCTTCCAAAAGTACCCCTTCCCCATCCTCATCAACTCCGCCTTCCTGAAACTAGCAGACATCTTTAGGCTTGGGTATGACTGCTTAGATATTGAAAATTAATATCAATTACTTACTATTTAATTGCTATTACATTTTGTAAATTAAATAATAATTAATAAGAGGACGAAAGGTTTTTCAAAATAAATGTTCGACCTGATTTTTACCTGCTAATAAAAATCATTTTTCCTACAAATTGGTTGGTGCATCAGAGCATGTTGTTTATGTTTGTCGGATGTATGAAAAGACATTAAAGTTTATATGTTGGAATGTTACATTGTATGGAAAAAAATAGGTGATAATAATTTTACTGTCAACAAGTTAATTCATACAAGCTGCTGTCTCTCTTTCCAGCAACAACTTTCTGCGTTTGTGTGTGCTGAAAGTGACACAGCAGAGTGAAAAGCATTTAGAGAAGATTCTCAATGTGGATGAATTTGTTAAGAGGGTGTTTTCAGTCATACATAGCAACGACCCCGTGGCCAGAGCCATCACTCTGAGGTAAGCTGGATGCCACTGAATAAATCGTTTTTAACTACAGCTTGGTTTGAAAGAGTCCATTCATTGTTTGATTTCTGCAGGATGCTTGGCAGTTTGGCCTCCATCATCCCAGAGAGAAAAAACGCCCACCACAGTATTCGGCAAAGCTTGGACTCTCACGACAACGTGGAAGTGGAGGCTGCTATCTTTGCTGCTGCAAGTTTCTCTGCACAGTCGAAGTAAAAAAAATTCTTGTTAGAATTTTGCTGTGTTGTCTAAATATATATATATATATCTACTTGCTTTCTGGTTTAAATTGTGAACTTTACTGTTTAATTTTTAGAGACTTTGCTGCTGGGATCTGTAACAAAGTGAGCGAAATGATTCAAGGTAGAAGATAATTCTTATTCTGACCCTACTAATTTTTTACTTTTAAACATTGATGTTTACTTTTGTCTTTTATTTGTCTCTTCTGAGGAAAAAGTAAATACCTTGAATAATTGATAAAATTATTTTTTTGTCATTTTTGTAAAATCAGGGTTGTTTTTTCACTAATATTTTGCCTATATTCTTGTAATTAAGCAAACAGTATCTCATAGCCTGACCGTCATATTCTGTCATTCACAGAAGGGATGATTGAGGGGGAAAAAACACTTTTGTAAATATTTTCCGTCATTTGTCATTTCAGAAAAAAAAATTCTTAAAATCCTATCTGGTAGAAGAAAATCAGAGAATTTATTTTTAACACATATCGCCCAGGCCTAATTTTGACCACCACCATAGCACATAAGTGAAATCAATATACAGGCTTTGATGAGGCAAAAACTTCCCTTTTTACATTTAATTTTTTTTTTGTAAATTGTCACATGTCTGTATAAGACATAAACTATCACAGGGTGTTCTAATGTTTTTCCCACCAGTGTATTATTTGGTGTTCAGAGTGGATTTTTAGTGTCTAACTGACTTTTTTTCCCATTTTGAACCTGACTACGGCGGCAGGTTTGGACACGCCTGTGGATCTGAAGTTGAAGCTGATCCCAATGCTGCAGCACATGCATCATGACGCCAGCTTGGCGTCCAGCAGCAGAGAGCTCCTTCAGCACCTGGTGAACTCCTACCCTTCCACCCCTATGGTCATCGTCTCGCTGCACACCTTCACGCAGCTGGCTGCCTTCTCGCTCATTGATATTCCCAAGCAGGTATATCCACAGAGAAAGCACAGGTTTAAAGTGATACATTGATAGAAGTTCTGTGAAATAATACAGTTTGCTGTGCTTTTTATCTCTTCAGTTGCAGCTTCTCCTTCAGTACCTGAGAGATGATCCGAGGAAAGCTGTAAAGAGACTTGCGATAAACGACTTAAAGCTTCTGGCAAAAAAAGCTCCTCACCTTTGGATCAGAGAAAACACTCAAGTAAGAACACTGCCAGTCACTCTGCATACTTTCTATTTTTTTCAACTTTAAAATGAAACCATTTTAATCCTTTCAGACGCTGTGTGAATGTGCCTTGACCATCCCTTACAACAGTTTGAAGCTGGGAATGTTGGCTGTCCTCTCAACCCTCTCTGGAACAATAGCCATCAAGCAGTACTTCAGCACTGCAGCAGGTAAGTAAATAAACTGTTATTAAACTTAGACATATTTATAAAAAAGTGAAAAACAGGAACCTCTTAGGTTGCTAAATAGAAAAATAAAAGAACAGAGATGTTCAAACAGAAGTATCAACTGTGGTTGCTCTTAAAAGAATGTTCAGTGAAGAATGTTCGTGAAGTCCTTTAACTCAAGAAGTTAAAGCTCAGTGACTGGTTCCAATCTCTGGACTGTTTCTAATTCTTGTTCTGGAATCTCTCTGCCACCTTTATTCCTGTACTAACTGGTTCCACTTAATAACCAGCGGCACCCTCTAATGACCAAACAACAACACTAAAATTTTAATCAATTAAATCATTAAACGAGAAGTAATTGTAAGTCGATTAACACCTTTCAATATATGTGTGTAGTTGTAAAAATGTAAAGGTGTAGCACTTTTTCCTCAGCCGGCTCATCCATCCCTCCTCGACTCACTGACCTGGTTAAACTGGCGCAAGAATGTTGTTACCACAGCAACCTGTCAGTGGCGGCTCATGGGGTTGTGGTGCTTTCCAGCATTGCCATTTCCTGTCCGGAAAAAGGTTGGTTTCTCTGGACAATGGCCTATTTGAGGTTCTTCCTCCAGCACAGATTCTCCTCAGTGGTTTTATGAGAGAGTTTCTTTTATTGTGTGTTTTTCTCCCTCAGATATAGTACAGCTGGAGCAGGACACGGTGTTGGGAGTGGAGTCTCTTCTGATGTTGTGCAGTCAGGACAGTAGCCCCAGTGGACAGGCCACTCTCAAAGTAAGACAGTAATGGAAACACAACAAAAAATAAAAGAGGTTATATATGCTGTAGCACTCAATTTATTCATAAGGTTAAAAAAATGTCAGGGAATGAAGTAAACAGTTTTAACTCATTTAAATGTTTTTTTTTTTTACAGTTTTATATTTAAAATTTGAAAAGAAATTATGTGATTATAGGAAACAGACTTCAACAAATGATGCCAGTCAATGAAATGAGTTTTTTAGTTTCTGGAAACTGAGTCATTTAAAAAACCTTCTGAATGTAATGTCACAAATCAGCAAGCTCTGCCCTTCAGTTAACGACCTCTGCGAAGCCCACTTTGTTACCTAGCATCCAAAGCTGAGCTCCAGCACGTTTGGTCAGCTGGTTTTACTGCTGTACAATAACTACTGGAAAAGACAAATGTTTTGGTGTTGGCTTAATCCACTTGCTGCATTCTTGTTGTTTGTGCAACTTCTGCTTTTCAAACATGTTCCATTGTATAATTGCTACTTTGTTTGCATCCATTTTGACGAGAGTTGGGGAAACGTGGCCAGCAGTAATTTATTTGGATTTTACCTCTTCAAGGAAATATAATAGATCCCCTTTAAGTCTACTTCGTGTTGTCAGACAGGTTCTATTTAAGTATTTTCTAGACTCTGAGCCTTCCAGAGATTTTTGCTCTCTTAAACAGCTGTTATGTTTGCACCACAGACGGCGCTCACCTCGCTCGTTAAGCTGCTGAAAAATCGGCCTCACCTGAGCCAACCGGCTGTGGAATTCTTGCTCGGCCAGCTCCACTTATCCTGCGACTCATCTCGCGTCCTCATGTGCCACGCCCTGGCGGCCATCGCCACCCACCTGCCCGTGCTGGGAGACGGCATGCTGGGAGATCTGGTTGATCTCTACCAGGTGGCCGGTCACTCCTCCACCGGGGAGCAGCAGGAGCTTCTGGTGAGAAACGCCGCACACATCAGCGTCCTCTCCTGCTGCTTAGAGTTGCATTTAATGGACTTTGATCGCTGTAGGTTTCCTTGGCGACTGTAATTTTTGTCGCCAGCCAATCGTCTCTGTCATCTGAAGTGAAGACGGTCATCAAGCAGCAGCTGGAGAATGTGGCAAATGGCTGGACGGTGTATCGCATTGCACGGCAAGCCTCTCGCATGGTAAGTGACTTTAATTATGAACATGACATCACATCGAAATAAGAGAATAAACGGCTTGCTGTTGATCTGCAGGGCTGTCATGAGTTCTCTAGCGAGCTTTACCAGTGTCTCCGGACTCGTGTGGCGTCGGAGCATTTCTACTTCTGGCTGAACAGCCTGAAAGAGTTCTCCCAGGCAGAGCAGTGCTTGAGTCATGTGGAGGAGGGTGACTACAGTGGCGCCATGAGCGCCATCGCAGAGGCCCTGCGCTCCTACCAAAAGGGCATCGCCTCCCTCACGGTGAGCAGGGGGAAAGAAAAAGCCACTGAAACTTAATTTAGACTGGAACGAGACCTCCGCACGTATCACCGTTTTCATAAGATGGGATTAATCGCTCTGCCTGCAGGCCGCCAGCACTCCGTTGAGCCCTCTCACGTTCCAGTGTGAGTTCATTAAGCTGCGCATCGACACTCTGCAGGCCCTGTCACAGCTCATTTGCACCTGCAACAGCCTGAAAACCAGCCCTCCGCCTGCCATCGCCACGACGATCGCTCTCACGTCAGGAAATGACGTCCAGCGCTGTGGCCGCATCTCAATGCAGGTGAACACTTAGCAGCTTAGGTTTTAGAGCAATTTGAAAGATTTAATAAGACACATGGTACCTTGAAGTTTGTGGTTGTTAAGTGATGAAATGTGGAACAAGGTCAGGGAGTTTGAATACTTTTTTGCAAGGCTCAGTATAAATATTTATAAATCCGTGTGTCCGCTTGTTGGACCAAACTACAGTAGCAGAAACCCAATCATTATAGTCCAGTCATACTTAATATCATCTCTTTTCTGTTCTGTTACATCAACATCAGTTATGATTCATGTGTCTATCTGTTATACCACACCTGTCACTGATATGAAGGATTTGTGCGTCAGAGTGGAATAAATCTGATGTGTTTAATCATGCTGTTAAATTTTCTTCCAGATGAAGTTCTGCATGGATGAGTTCAGAGGTCTTGCTGCCCGCTATGCTGATCTGCACCAGTCGTTATTTGATGCAGATTATGCTACCCTTCGCAACGTGGAGCTGTATCCTTAAACATCCATCAGTCCTGTCAGTCTGCGATTGCCCTAACTCCCCTGCTGTCATGTATTGGCCCTTAACTGTTTGTTCAGACAACAGCAGAGCTGCTTGCTGGTCTCGCATGTAATCGAAGCTTTGATACTGGACCCACAGACAGCCAGGTGTGAGTCGCTGACGTAGCTGTTATTCTTCCATAAAACCTGTGAAAAATGATACAATTTATGTTCTCAAATCATTTTGGTCTGGAGCATCAAAAGCAGTCATCATGTGAATCATTTTCATATCAGTTTTGCTCTATTAATGTTAAAATATGTTATTTTAGTGTGAAATGATGAAATGATTAAAAAATATTCTGCAGACTTTTTACTTAACCACTTAATCCTAACCAAATGTGTACATACATGTGCATCATTCAAACTTTGTTAAATATACTTGAGAAACTTGCAGTGAAACTACATGCTCATCCACATAATTCATATTAATTTGAACATAATCTTGACTGAAGTCCTTACTGATAAATAACTCTTAGTCATAAATTTTCAGATTGGTCGACATAGAGACGTTTTCTGGATGTAAATTACCAAATCATTGTCGGGATCAGTTTCCTGTTGGAACACCCAGTCCTGCCATGTATTATTTGTATATCTGCAGATTTGAGCAGAAGTTGAAGGATTTGCTGGTAGTCATTTGCCTCCATTATTCTTCCACTTTGTGTAATGGCACTTGTACTACTGGCAGCACAAAGCCTTACACCATGATGCTCAGGAGACTGATGCTGTTGGCTTTCATAGCCCTTTATTGACTCTGCCAAACATTTTATTTGGTTTCAAAAAGCTACCTCTTTTGCTCAAGTTTTGTTCGCGCTTCAAAGAGTTTGTTTTGGTATAGAAAGTTCTTATGGAGTAGAGAAGGCCAACAAACAAAATATATGTATGTTTTTAATCCATTGTTGAAGATGTAGTAAAAGAACAAATTGTAAAACTGTACATGCAAGCAACAGCAGCGTTTAGCAGCTGACCGTATAAAAACCAATATGTGGCTCACATTCTTAAAATTCCCATGTTGTCGGTGTGATTTAGTTTTCAGGAGCACGGCAAATCGGGGTCTGTTCAGACCGAGAGCGAATATGAGCGACGGATGATGTCGGTGTTTAACCATGTGCTCGTTGAGGTAGAGGGACTCTCCAAGAAACACCCTCCTGTTTCACACCTGGTGAGACTACATTTATGATCACAGATTTTCAAAGAAATTTGCAGTTTTACTGCAAGATTCAAGACATTTACCCGACTTAAACGTGCCTGTGATTTCCTGTAGTGCAATTGGGAGTTTATGAAAAGAAAAATCTTCCAAAAATTCTTTGGAAAGTGGATTACTATATAGTCTTGTAAAAATAGCTTAAAGGACTAAAAACTCTGAACGTTTGAGTGAATTGTGTTTGTTTTTCAGCATACCAACTGCCTCTGTGATGCTGTCATAGCCTTGCTGAAGGTGCCGCTGTCTTTCCAAAGATATTTCTTCCAAAAGCTCCAGTCAACCAGCATCAAGGTAATTGCTTTACAGTTACAAGTACTGAAACCAAGCCAGCAACACAATGACTTGGTGTTTGTTTTCAAGTAAACATTCCACATGATTCAAATGTTTGCTAATGAAAAAGAACTTGCTTTGAATAATAAATGAGGATTGATGATACTTATGCATATAAAGAAATGGCACTAATCCACATCGAATTTCATTGGAATTAGCTTCTTTTTATAATGAAGATGGATGTATTTCACTTGATTCTGTCTAGATTTGAGTGAAATAAATCCAGTGAAATTTTTAACTTGGTTTTAGCTAAAGATTGTAGTTTTGCTGTTTTGTAAGAGCAATAATTTCCAAGAAACAGCAACTTACACTGTGAAACTTAAACTTCTCTATGTGTGTCAGAAAACAATGTAAAAAAAAACAGTTTTTCTTGTCTTTATAGTTAAGAATAGGCTATTTATTATGTTTTGCATTTTCCAGCTTGCTCTCTCTCCGTCACCACGAACTCCAAGTGAGCCAATCCCAGTTCAGAACAGTCAGCAACTGACTCTGAAAGTGGAGGGAGTAGTACAACATGGTTCCACACCAGGACTCTTCAGGAAGATCCAGTCTGTTTGCCTCAATGTCACATCAGTTCTACAGAGCAAGACCGGGCCTGACTACAAAGTATGATGTTTTTTTCCCCCCGTCTAACCATTCTACTTTCTACAATTAATTATGCTATCATTTAACAAGTTTAACTGTTTTTACTAATTCTTTGATCATCACCCTGATTCTTTTTATTTCAGATACCACTTGACAGTAAAACGAATGAGATCGAGCAGCGAGTAGAACCTCACAACGACTACTTCAGCACCCAGTTCCTGCTAAACTTCTCCATCCTGGGCACCCACGTGGTCACCGTGGAGGCATCTGTGGTGGACGAGAGCGGCATCGAGTGGAAGACGGGGCCGAAGACGATGGTGTCCGTCAAGTCCCTGGAGGATCCCTACTCCCAGCAGCTCCGCCACCAGCTGCAGCAGAGTGGAACGCAGCCTGCCCCACAGAGGAGCTCATACATTCGCTTTTAGTCAATTGCTTTGTTTTTCTGCTGTTTTTTTGTTTGTTTGTTTGCTTTTACAATTTGAGCTTGTTCACTTTCATTGTCTTGAAGAAAATAAATGTTTTTTTTTTGTTTTTTAACTCCAGTGATTAAAAGACTTTTATTTAAATTATTTAAGCATTCATTAAGTAGCAGTTTTTGGACTCAAAAGATGCTAAAGACTTGATGTTAAATTGAATAGTATTACTTGTGTCAAAGAGAACGTGTTAAATGTCCTTGGTTTAATCTTTTCCACATTATGTAATACTGGGCAAAACCACCAGGTGGCACAATATGAACATTGCAAAATATTTCCAGTTGATGAGGGCACGTGAAATACATTTTAGAGAGTGACGTTTATGCCATATATATAGATATATACTGCATTAACGTAATATGTTTAAGTTATATTAATACTTTGAGTCGGAGTTATTTAGGAATTGACAAATTTCTGTTCAAAATCGGAAGATCCAATTAATCTTTATTTTCTCATTTATTTATGTGTAGATATACACACGAAGTCAAGCCATCAATTTTTGACAGCAGGGAGTCTGCGCAGTCCAAGACTAGCGTCAAACAGACATCAACATGAAGTCACCCTGAATAAAAATTTCACTTCCGGTCATATTTTTCACAATTAAAGTACAATTTTAGTTGAACAGGGAAAAGTCGTTTTACCAAAACGTATTTGCAACCTCTGATAGTTGTTGAAATAATTAACAAGCATGCTTATAATTCCAGGATGTGTTACTGTAATATTTTTGAAAACATTTTCTCCTCAGTAATGTAATGCTCTTAGTACATAATTTTTTTTATGATAAATTTATTTATTCCAAGATTCTTTTAGAATGCATAAAAATACTATTTCTTACTTTAGGGAAGGGTGTTTTATTTGGAAGTTATTTTATGATCATTTGAAGCTGTTATTAAAATTTTACTTTGATTTACAATAAATTTCAAAAATATATATACATTTTTTTATTATTATTATGTAAGGGGAATAATGCTGTCGACTGTCGCCATATTCTTCCTTAGAATCAAAAGAAGCCTGGGCTTATTTCCTGTTTAATGTTGTACAGAATCTTAGTGTGCTGAATTTAACTGTGGTGATATAAATATGATTAAATGATTAAGTTGGGTTGCACAGTGAACTTTTTTCACATTATTACCATAAACATTAATGTCTTTACTTGAAATGTTACTTGACCAACAGAGAGCAGCAGTAAATAAACTTGAGTAGCTGATTGATTGCATCTGTAGTTGTATCTCTGTTTCTCGTCTGACACCACTATTTTTTACTGTAGATATTGTGTTTTGCTGCTTTTTTACACACAGTTGTTTTCTTGAAGGCCAAAAAGTATCAATTTGATTCCACTTGAATCTTTTCCTCATGCTACATATCTACAGAATCACCAACGCGCTCCTCGGTCCTCTTATTTTGAAGGTGGACTTCAGCCATTTCCGGTTGTGTACCGTTCTTCCTTTGTGTACATTGCCGCGGTGTGATTCGGGATCCGGAGAAAGATAACGGGTCCCCTCCAGCCTCAAAAAGGAAAAAAAAAAATTGCTGCTCCCCCTGTTAGATGCGCACATGTACAGCTTGCGTTGCGGTTATCTAAGGAGCAGCGTTGAGCCCAGGCCCGCCTCAGCAGCCTCTCCCTTCGGACTGTTTGCTGGGCGCTCAGGAGCTAGCTGAGTTGATGGTGATGGTGATGATGATGCATCTGAGGATTTATCCCGGTATCTCTCCCTGAGATGGAGCCAGCGACGTTCAACTGGAGCTGCTAACAGCGCCCGAGAAGACCCTGGATGGCTAAATGGGGGGAGGAGTAGCTCTACCGCACAGGGGTTTCTTAGACATTTTCACCTTTTTAAACCTCAATCCAGATCAAATTTAACAGACGTAACATGCCGACTAGCAGAGATAGCCATTTTTTAGCTTAGCTTCACAGTTAATCTCGCTTTGGCCGTCCTTGGATGCTTCAGTGACATCAATTGGGTGAGTAACATGAGCTAGCAGACTTTTACTACTAAACTAGAGGGTGGGACTACACTCTGGATGCGCTTTCAATCAGCGTCAAACTTAACGTTTGCTTTCACCTCCTAAAACAGCTCACCAATAAAGGCCTCGGAGCTCAATGTGTCATTTATTCCACATTAACGCTGAAGCTCACAGGTGGTCGTTTCCGACGCGTTTAACCGCATCTTTTCCCTTTATGCTAACTCATACCGTTGCTAGCTAGCATGTTATGAAGTAATGGACTTCGTCCCCCTTCCCCGCTGCTTGGTCCTTTTAAGGTCCTGGCTTCGCCTGTTACACCGTTTTGGGTCGGGAGCTCGGTGGTATCGAGGCGCGAATGACAACCAACCATCTTTATTAATAAATCCCTTTTGAATAATCAGAGCATAGCGTCCTCTACGCGTGTGTTGCATATAAATGCCTCGGAAAAGCCTGGTCCTCAACCGGTAAGCGGAGTTAAAAAAAAAAAAAAAAAAACACATTTCTGCCAGAGATTCTCAACTGTGAAACGTTCCAGGTAAATGTTTGTGCTTATTATTATAGCCTGATCGTTCAGTACTGGTCAGAGTGTTGTGTTCAGATAACGCAAAAAATGTTACGAGTTTCAATGAATGTTATTGTAGCTACTATTGATGACACATTGTGGAGGGAAAAAGACATCCTAACTCCTACATCACACTGCGAGGAATTTTATCGCACTTTTTGCATGAATGGCCTGTTTAAGTTCATTCTAACCCTCATTTTATGACTGGACTTTGACTAGGCCAAAACCCAGAACCTTAATTTTGTGCGGGGTTTTGGACCCAGACTCAGAGTGGAGTGAATTTTAGATCATATCTATAGGTCATTACTTTTCGGAAATGCTTCTTTAGTTTTAGGGAATGCGCTCCTTCCAGAAAGCCAATTTTTGTCTAGTTAGTGCTCAGAATGTTTTCACCAATTTTTTAGTGATCAAGAAGTGCTAGGGCCTTCATGTTCTTTTTTATAAGTTGTGTTTTTTGCCCCAGATCTGTTCCATATATCTAATTTTTTGCTCAGTCTGTTTCTCTTTGTTGAATTCTGCGCGTCTGGCCTTCAGTGCTTTAGATGTTCTCCTTTTTGTGATCTCCTGAAAGAGTTGTTGATATGCTCTTGGGTGTAATTTTGGTTGGTTTGCCACTCCATGTTCTCGCTATTTGTGGATAATGCTCTCTGTGTTTCACTGGAGTCCCTTCACCTTAGAAACCACTTTGTAATCCTTTTCAGGCTGAAACACGTCAGTCATTTCTTTCTCATCTGTTCTTAGATTTCCAGAATCTAAGAACAGAGTGTGTCCTTAAATCTAAGAACACACTCTTCTGAAATAATACATTCTCTGCAAGAATGTCATGTTGAACTGTGTTGTAGGACTGAATATTATAAAACATAAACCCGCTTTAAAAAGTCTGAAAACATCAGTGAGAAAATCACACGTGTTGTTTTATTTACAGTTTGATGTTCAAGAATTGGCAGAAAAATCTTAAGAGGTTCTGAAACAAAGTAAAAAATAAGCAAAAACTAAATTCCGATGCAAAAATCATTTTATGTTTATAACTGTTATAAGAAAGCATAAGAGTGTGGCTTTTCCACCTCTCCATATAAGTAAATTTACTGAAAGGCTGGGTTTTTCAGTTAATGCTTACAAAAATTGTTTATTTTAAGGCTGTTTGCTTATCTGTATCAGGGAGGAAATGGTTGCGAAGAGAGCTGTATTTCTATTTTAAAAAATAGGTACATAACAGCTATGCGATTATCTTTGAGATAAATGGAGACTGATTATTCTGAAGCATATAACAGAGAAATAAAAAAAATAGTGAAAAGAAGAAAGTGATTCAAAATGGGCTTTAATAGCAGAGTTTCTTGGAAATAGTATCCATTCTGTGTAGAAAACCGAGCTTAGATTCTCACTTAGGCCTGTCGGGATAAAAAATAAATCAATTAATTTATCATTTCTTCCAGCCTTTTTCTCTTTCTGTTGATGACACTGAATGAAAAAAGGCTCTCCCTCACTCATTTCCTTAGTGTAATGCCCAGCGCACATTACACATTCTTAGAGTTGTTGGCCAATTGTCGGCCCATTTTCAAAACCTGAGACCACACATTAGCCGACAGAAATCGTAGGTATAAAGGTTCAATCTGTTCAGTCATGCTATGTGGTATCCAACAATGGACACAAAATAATGGCTACAAGTCAATTAACTAATTTTAAAACCAGGCATTAATAAATGCTCTACTACAATCTACCTGCAATGCATGTGGCTAGTGTCAATGAAAATTATTATAACTTATTTATGTCATGTCAACGAAGAACAACTGAAAAGTTACTGGGTTTATCAACTACGGTAGCAATTTCGCTTCAACTCTTCTCCTTGTCGTTTCTATATTCTTTGCACGAAATGTTGAATGAATATTAACGTTGTTCGACAAATCATCTCCAATGTCCCTGGACTTCGGGTTGTGCTGTGTCAGGTGTTTGGGATTCCCTCCGTAATTTCCCCTCAGAAAGCAGGGAGAGGAATCCGCGCTTTCTGATTGGCTACCTGTCACATTCAACAGGCTGCGTTAACGCTCCCAGTTGGGGAAAACGTAATTTAGATTGGAGCGGCCATGGCGAACTATCGTAACACACCACACGCTAAACGATGATCGGTTACCAAACCACAGGCGACAATCTTAAAACATTCTAAGATTGTGTAAACTGGTCTTCAAACAATATTATCGTTCATTGCAATATTTTTTGAGACAATTAATTGCTCAGCAAAATGTGTTATCTTGACAGGCCTATTCTCACTTCTTGGTCTTAGAGTGACTGTAATTGGTTGATACAGAAACAAAATAAGACAAACAATAATAAATGCTTTGCAATAATAAATAATAAACTTCTAACAATTTGCTCCCAGTAGACTGTTAGAAGTTCACTGATAATTGAATCGAGACTGGATGATGATGAAACTAAGCAACATTAAATTAACTGTCACACAGCATTAAAATGTCTGATCGCACTTTATTCACATCTTCATCCTGTGATTTGTCACGGCTTCTCGCCATGCTGGTCATTTTACTGCGTCATCTCCACTGTCTGTCGGCTATTCACTGTGATTACCTGCTGCTTCTATACACTTGTTTAATTTGGGAAGTAAAGGAACAGGAGCTGTTGGCAAAGCTTTCTCTATTTTCCAGAGAATCTCTCTCCTTTCTGGCGGTCTTTTTCACCAGGAGTGTCTCGTGCAACCTTTTCACTTTTGATACAGTATTGATATTGCAGCTTTGAGTGTTGCCTGACACTGTTATTTACCTGATATCAGCACAAACCATGCATACTTTTATTACTTCTATTTGTAGTTTGTAATGCTTGGACTTGATCAAATGATATTACTCAAATAGAGAACAAAAATCAGTAACAAAAGATTGTATCAGAGATTTTAGAGGCTGGCTGATATAATCAGATTTTTTTTTTGGCTGATATTGGATCGATTTCTGATATTGATCCAATATCTCACTAAAACTCCTCCTAACGCTATCTTAACATTTTGTTACTTCAGGATTTCTCCTAAAGGTCTAAGATGCTTTGTGAATATTAATATTTTAAGAAAGGCAATTCTATAACCATAATCCATTTTTATTTATGATTTCGGTTTTGTGTGGTTTTAAGTTCATTTTAATTTTTGGGGTTTTTTTGTTATATCTTATTCTGGACATGTAAAATGTTTTCAAAGTATATCAGTATTTGAGAAGGTGAACTTGCATTATTATGCCACTTCATTTCATGTTAGTCTTTGAGATATTATTGATTATCACAATAATTGTTTAGACAAGTTATCATCCAGATGTGAAAGTTATGCTGACTGTTATATTTTTTTATTTCTACTCATTGTTTTTGTGCACATCTTCTGTCTATAAGCAGAACATTTTTTATTGTTGGTCAAACAACATGAGTCTCCAACGGCGGCTTTGTTTGTTTGCAGACGGTGCGTTTCAGAATGGCACAGCTGATGGACGGTGCCGGCAAACTGAGCTGGGTTCTCCTCAAGTCTGTGATACGTTTCACCTTCATGTTCTTCAACAACTGTGTGGCCATCCCGTCCTACTGCTTGTACCTGCTGCTCCTCCAGCCGCTGAGAATATGGGACAGCTCCGCTTTCTGGCACATCGAAGGAGTCATGTTCAAATGGCTGC